CCCCCCCCTTGGCCTCAAGTAGCATTGGAGTGTTTTATCTAAGAGCCCTAAATGGAAACCCATAAAGCCGGCCTAGGCACTACAGCGGCCTGACGCTGCTGTCAGAGCTTCTGGTCCAGCACCCACAGCTGGCCTGGCAGCCTAGAGTGGCCTGAAGGCTTTGCTTGCCAAGTGATCCACAGAAGGCGCCACTAGGCACAGCATAGGTTTTTAAATGTCGTGACTGAAGAAACAATTGTCAAATGAGGGCCAACACATCAGAGACGCTCTTGGGAGGAACCGCTCCAATACCTTGTTGCCTCCCTGCCCTACACCCAAAGTTTCTGATCGGATGCAGCTGGATAATGGCCCTACCTGAAGCTGAGGGTGCAAGACAGCCCACACAGCCAATCAGGCGACAACATGAAACCAGTTGAAGAGAGAAATCCATGAGACACAGGATGACGCGACTGATTTTCCGGTCATGTCACTCAGTGCTTAGAGATGCTGCTCAAGGGAATGTGTTCTGTTCGCAGCCACAAAGGGCAAAATGTATGCGGTCTTTTTGCTACAGAGCCCGTGTCAAGCATGAAAACAATCAGTGCGCAATGTGTAGGGTCCAGTCATCCAGACGAGGCCGGCATGCGGCATCAAGAGGGCGCCGACAAGCGCAAGGCCGGTCCATTGGAGGAGGGAGTCAGTGTTGTGCTTGCATGGCGATGATTCAATTATTTCAGCAGAAGAGGGATTGTGGATATTACAAAAGCAGAAGAGTCAAAACGAAAAAACCGTTTCATCCCCTCCTCTCAACAAGTCCTACTTGAAACCTCAAGGAGCTGAAGCTGTCTCCCCAGCTTGGGAGAATTCCCGCGCCTCCATTCACCCAAAGGGCGCTTGTCATCCCATGCAAGGGTTCTTACACAAGTACGCCGCCCCAAAGACAAGGACGCGTACCTGAACCAGCTGGTGTTCCAGCTTTGTCAAATACATTCGCCGCAGGAAAATGCGGAAAAGGCGTTCTCCAACGGTTTGTCGCTTTTGCCTGGCTCTACACCAACCCTGCAGAGGTTTCAGCAACAATGCTTTTTGACACCGCCGTGCACCTTCTTCACTGCAGAAATGAGGTTGCTCAAAGTCAGCGGCTTCAACCAGAACAAGAAATTAGTCAATTGTGAAGACCTGTTTGTATAGGACAATCATTGTTTCAGGAGCTGGTTTTGTGTTTCTGTTGTTTTGCCTTACTGGTAAGGCACCCAGCAACGAAGCAAGTGCTCCACCCCACACCCCAGAAGATGTCGGTCGGGAAGCCGTTCAAGCGGCCAGACTCATTGGGTGAGCGACGTGGGCAACGATGGTTCTGGAGACCCAGATTGGATCCGAAGCCATGGGATCCTTGTTACCAGTTACTAGTAGCTTCTTGTTCCGAGTGGCAAGTTAGCTACTAATAGTGATGCACTTGTAACTAGTAGCGATGCACTTAGCTACTAGTAGCTTCTTGTTACTAGTAGAAATGCACTTGTTGCTACTGGTAAGGCACCTTACTACTAGTAGCTTCTTGCCATTCAGGAGCGGGCCCGTGCTATTTTTCAGGCCTGATGACCTGATGTAGGTCCCACTGGCCCCCACTTGACTCACAGTCGGATAAGTTTGCCAGTTTGCCATGCTTCATGTGGCATTATTGGCTCCTTTTTGAAGTCACTGTTTGGATTGATCGGCAATGTCTTGCCTTAGTTGAAAGGGGATCTCCTTCTGGTTGGCATTTGAGAGAAGGAACAAGTGACTATATAGTAGAATCCCGGTTTCGTCCTACCTCTAGGAGATACCCTTGGAGGAGTGTTGGAGGCTTTGGACTCTCAACATCAGCAACTTTAGGGCTGACGGCTTGGATAGCTCGCCCAAATGTCCGATAGCAGGCGAGTGAGAAAGCTCCATGTCAGCCATGTTCAGTGTAGTTCTTCAAGCGATCCTCGCTTCATCGGTCAGCAACTCTTCAACGAAGCTGCAGTCTTGTTGACGAGGTGTTTTCCTCCAGACGGTGATCCCCAACTGGGGCACCGATCACAAGCACTTCGCACTGTGGAGCGCGGGCTTTGGGCGTGATAACATGTGGGAGGAGAGTAGTCTGAGTAGTCCAAAAAGAGAGACGGGCATTGTTACTAGTAGCTTCTTGTTACTACTAGTAAGGCACTTGTTACTAGTAGCGATGCACTTGTTTTCTAGTAGCTTAGTGTTACTAGTAGCTTCTTGTTACTAGGTTCGATGCCAGGAGCCCCTAGTAGCGTCCTTGCTCCTAGTAGCGGCGCCCTTTGCTCCTAGTAGCTTTAATTCTTTTTAGTTTTTTAATGTCTAGCGTGTCCTTCACAGACAAAGCCACAGAGAAGGTTTCGCCATGTACAAGCTTGGGTGTGAAGCTTCAGGGAGTTTATATAATGAGGTACGAAGAACAAGCATGCCGTGTGGGTGGGAGTGGTTTGTCTTCATGAAGAGGAAGGGGTTGCTCCATTCTGCAGGGAAAGGAGACAATTACAGAGCCCTGCCACCAACAACCTTCAACCGATTCATGTCTTCCTGGAACTCACTTTCGCACGAAGCCTGGATCAACCCGAGAGGTGCTGGAGTACGTGATTCATGAAATTCATGACCACCCCTACTATCCCTGGCACCATGTCCCGAAATAGATTAATCCACTCCTCAGAAGAAGGCCTTCACTCACCACGCTGTTGCATTGACCAATGTAACAATTTGTTCAATCAATCATGTTTGATCTCCGCCAGATTATTCTCTGCCAGATCCAGCACTTCTTTAGCCACGAGAGTTTGGAATAGTGTATGTTTGTCTACAATGATAGCTTGGCCTTGAACCCCTTAGAAGCCATCCAGAAGCTGCGCAGGAAGTCCGTCAGCAAAATGGCTAAGCGTATCCTTCCAGCCTCCGTGGAGGACCATGATCACAATCGGCATATTAAAATCGTCCTTGTCATGATGCTTGATGCGAATACACATATTTGATCATATATATATATATATGTATATTAAGCAGAAGTCAATATGTCAATATGCATCAATATGCGTGTGTTTTAGGAATTTTCAGAATGTGGCTATTCTTGAACTGCATGATATGTAGATCGATGACCAAAACAGTTTGATTACGGCCCATGTTTCTTCCGATGAACACCAACTGACTTTAATCTCCATCAAACCATTTCACGGTTGGTTGACGTTTCTTGAGCCAGTTGTCATACATTAGGAATCAATATACCCAGAGCTTCCTCGTATGCTGGCAGAACTCATCCCGGCCCAGGAACACTTTCCCTGGATGAAGCTGCCTGGATTCCCAGATATTGAAATACAGCTTCGGAAAGGCGTTGATTGTAAGAGAGAATCTGAACATGCCTGTTTGTGGCATGTTCTGTTCAAGTCAGATTGAATTACCAGATTCTACTGAGGTTTTCTCATGTCAATATTGCGACTACGCTTCTTCCCATTTCTTCCCAAATCGTTTTCCTGGACTCACGCTATTCACGAGGCGGAGTGGCATTGGGCGCTTCGCCCTCAACCCAGAGCATCATTTGGACGATAGCACTTGGTTGATCCGCAGCAGCGCGCAGGCACCACTCCAGAGACTTAGTTAAATTTCCTCCGAGACACCTGATACAAACAGATGCACAAAGATGAAAGCATAATCTGAAACTGAAACCAGATCTTTCTTGTGGTACACACGTCTCGGCCTCGGGTTTGTCCCTATTCGAAAACCATGGACCCATCAAAAATGGACGGCAGGTGCATCTCTTCAGCGAGTGGGCGCTCTTTTGGGACCTTTCGAAGAAGGTGCGGAGACCGAGTTCTGCGCCCAGGGACTCCATCTGACGTTGGGAGTGAGGACATGGGACAACACATGGGGTGACGCACGCCTCGCATTCATCTTGGAGCGATAGCTTTGTTCCTCAAGACGAGGGGTTGTTGACTGGGTTGGTCAGTTGATCAGTACTTGGAAAGCACACGTGAAACAGCTGTCCTAGCAGGACCGGAGCTGAGCTCAAACACGCGTGGCACTATTATCAAAGAGCCATGGTTCAAACGGCAACTACTGTAGGCATTAGTAGGTCATGCCACATTGGAAACAGAAACATACAAAATCCTACACCTTAATGTTGGTATATGTTCGTATAATATGCAGTGCTATTCCCACCTAACAGATCCTAACAGCCTACTGTTACTTGAGTGAAAGTTGACTGCAGCGGCTTTATGAAAAGTTGAACTGACAGAGTTTCTGAAGGTGGAAAACCCACCATTTTTGCCAATACCACAGTCATGTCCGACATTCAGGATTTGTTTGAATAGAATCTCTAAAGAAGATACATCGACAATCGTGCGCTTACCCTCCGTTCAGACCCGGCTTGCACACGCAGCAAGGTTCTTTTGGAGAAGTCACCGTCAAATGTCGCGGGGCACCCTAGTCGCTGAGAGTGCCAAGTGGAGACCGGACAAAGGTCAACAGGTTTGTTCATCCATTTGTAAGTGAGGATGAGTGAGGTATGGCTTTTGTACTGGAGGGCGCATCGTTAAAGTTACATTCTTGCAAACCAAGAATGTTCATGCTGGTCAATATATAAAGCAAAAACGCCATCAACACAGGAGCATCCATTGTAGGATGAACAAGGGCATTGCAGTTTTGGTTCAATAGTTGTTCGTGCATGAAGTACATCCAGCCATGGAATGCGGCCGCGTAGCAGGTCTTATCGCCTTTTCTCCATCGCCTTTGGTCCTTGGATCTCAACACCCAGAGCCGGATGCCTCGGTCCTTTGGGGAGTTTCCCCCAGCTTTATATAGTGCAACATAGTGCAACAACATTCATATGTCGTTCTTCCGGAATTCTGTGCTCTAAGGTAGTCAGGTAGTCTTGCCTCACGGGTTTGACTCTTCCGTTGAAGCAAATGGAATTTGCACTGCCAAGTTCTGAAAATCTGGAGGCCATCGCTAGTAGGTTGGAGGCCATTACTACTATAGTAACAAGAAGCTACTAGTATCTGAAAGCTGCGAACATTTCGTAGCTTCACCAAGGCCCTGGGCGCTTCATCTTCCAACAGCGCCACCCGCTGGCCGTGGCGATTGCCACCAGACGGCGCTTGGGGCCACTCGTTGGGTGGCTCAGGAAACAGGAGAAAGGGAGGCCGGCTTTTCCCCTTGTTACTAGTAGCTTCTTGCTACTAACTAGCCGACTTTTCCCATGTCGCTAGGGGAATCCTCTTTCAACATGTTGCTTGCACCACATTTGTCCCAGATAGGCCCAATGCATCCCAACGCCTCAAGCTTTTGCACCCACCAGACCCATTCAGCATAAAATGATCCAAATCACAATGATCCTTGGACCTCATCTCCTCAATGCGCTGCTTTAGGGAGTTTTGGTGCTCGGAGCAGCTCCCGAGGTTGATGATCTGAGCATGAAAGACTTGATGGAGAACTGGTTGGCTGCAGAGGCCCGCTCTGGCCCTTGTCAGCCGGACTTGAAGCCCTAAGCGTCAGGACATGGTTTTTCTCCTCTTGAGCTTGTGTCACATTGTGTCACTGTCCCCAATAGTTTCCTGGAAACTTCGACATCTAATGCATCAAGGTGAGTCCAAATCCTTTGAATCTTGAATGCGACAAACAAGACCTTGCATAGACTCCCATGCAAGCTTCAGTGTGAGGTCCTCAAGCAACCCGTTGATTGAATCAAATGTTGATACCTCCGTTGGAATTGGGGAGCCGTCAGACGAATTCCGCCAGTGACCTCTTGGGGGATCCCGAACCGCGTCGGTTAGACAAAAGGGCAGGGTCGAGTCAGGAAGGCATTCATGTGCCATAGTCTGAGTCTAATGCAGACACGCGTACCATCATATCATCTTCGTCCTACCATCAGTTACCATGGATGTCATCAGTGACCAGTTTTGTTAACAAGAGCCACCAGGAATCCATAGGAATTCTATGATGAATCGCAGAAAGGGTTTTAGGAAAAAACGAGGATGGTGCAGCAGCATGTTCCCTTGAGCAAACGTGTTCACTACGTGACATACGCAGATATCATACGGCGTTGGTCCCCAAAATGGTATTTCCCTAAAGCAAACGAGCAACTTCTTGAGCAAGGTGAACTCCGCGCGCCGTCCTTGCTCCTAGTAGCGATGCCCTTTGTTGCAAGAAGCGTCCTTTGTTCCGTCCTTCATGTCAATGCTTCAAGCAAGACCAGGACATATCCAAGCTATGGCAAAACTGCAAATCGAGAACTCCTCTCTTCCATGCATTGGAAGCACGAGATGCCGCTTCACATCCGTTCTACACCCCTGTCTTCCTTTGCAAAACCCCCTCGGGAAGCCCCCATCCCCTGACCGCTCCAGGAGCGCAGAGCCAAGGCCCAGAGCTTCTATGGTGGGGGTGGAGCCACCGGCACGTCTATTTTGCATGAGGAATTCCTTCAATTAGTTTGAAAACCGTGCTTGAGCATGAGCAGTAGTTTGAGACATCATGAGCAGGCAATCTACCCTTAAAGGAAGTAGATGCGGAGCCATTTAGAGCAAAATAGCATTGTCTTCAGTCTTCATGTGGTTTGTTTCTAGGACAGTGTGGCACACGGGGCAGCCAATGCTTGACTTCTTCTGGATGATTGCAGGTCCCAATTGTTCACCAATTTGAACTCTTGCAATCCAGAGGCAAGATTAGATAAGATTAGCTTGTCATGCCATGGCCACAACGAAATTTGTTCCAAAATGGTGGACAAGGTTCAGACCCCTCAGCCCCTCAGCTGGTATGCTGTACATGAACCCTGCCAAGGAAGCATGTATGAGACCTGACTTTGTGTTTGTTATATACCTAGCGTTGAGCCATGCCAATCATTAGAAGAAGATCGAACCCAGCGGACACAATTGAATCGTTGCAGATCCGGGGGTGACTATCCTTGCAAGATGTGCCCCTGTGTGTTTCCTGCGCCCCCCTGCGTGGTTCACAGCTGTTGCACACAGGACATGCAGTCCTACTTCGAGTACTACGGCTTTGCCAAAGACGTGTTCCGCATCGTCCAGTTCGAGGAATAACGATGGTTGCCGCCTCACAAGCCATGGCTTTTGGGTTGGGCATGTTTCATGGGCACCAAGTCTCGTCAAGGACAGATTCACTTGTCCCCAATGGAGTGCTCTTCAAGCTTGCCCTGTAAGTCCCTCAAAATGAGGGCATGTGTAGATTGGTGTTTTCATGCGAGGTTGACTGGGGTCTTGCATCGCGCGCGCACACACAGACTCTTGAAATTGCTTTATATGTCCCATACCATATATATATATATGTACTGTATATATATATATACCACTTTTGCTGCCCTGTACATAGATGCCTTTTTGAGCTAAATCGGCGACCAGTTCTTGACAAGTTGGAGAACTCAGACACTGGGTGTTTGACGAGGCCAACATTCCAGAGGGCAAAATATGCATGCCCCCACCAAACCAAGATGATGGCACTTGTCCGTCGCAGCCATCGACAGGACCTCATTCGAGATCCAGAGAAGGTGGTGCAGAGGGCCGTTTGGGATGTTTGATAGGAGGACCCGTCAAGAACCCAAGTAAGTGGGTGTGCAATTGCTCAAGTCTAAGTGTGTGATGTTTTGAGTTTTGTTGTCCACACAGGATGCGGTTGTGATGACTCAATAAGTGCGAGTTCACTAAGGTCAAGGAACTTGCACTCGTAGAGGTCTTGTTCTGAATGAATGGTATTGGCCTCTTACATAAATAATCCTCATAGCTTTGGTGTGTCTCAACTAATGGGGTCGGTTAGAATAGTTCAGTTCCCTTTACAAAATGTTCTACCAAGGGTTTGGGTTCTCCGATTCTAAGTCACATCGTGACGGTTGAAAGCCGGAAGATACAGTACAGACAATGCAGGCAGATCTCCTCCACAAGCCTGCCCCCTTCCTTGAGAAACCCTGAACATTCCAGCCTTCAAGTTGTTCAGCCTTTCCTTGCAAAATGTGCCTGAAAATGCTTCAACTTCTTTGCCCAAGCAAGCTCGTTGCAAGCGAGTCGCCCATTCAATTGGCGTTGCAACCTGCATTTCTTTGTAAAACCACTCTGGTATGGTGTGCTCGATGATATGAGCATATCTCCTGTGAATTCCCCCGAGCCTAGCCTAGCTTATCATTTCAAACCCTCTTGAGTCTTCTTTTGTTGAGAAGCTAACTCATCACCAAGTCCGTAGCAGGCGTTTGATGCTGAGGTATGTGACAATCACCTGGTGGTGGAAGACTGGGCAGTGAATGACATGAAAGGTGTTGATTTGCCGCTTATGTCTTCTGACATCGAGGGTAGATTTACCTGTTTGAAGATAATAACGATGATAGTGGGCATAGTGGATTTCAGACTGATGATTCCCTCCCTGCTTGGATCCTACCTTCTAAAAAAGGGTGCAAGTGGTTGGCCACATACGAGTCGCCGCTTGCCCCAGCACGACATCTTGCAAAGAGGTATATCTTAATCTACTAAAATCACACAGCGTGCTGTGTTCATCTGATAATCTGAGGGTTAAAGAGTTAAAGGTGTCCATGGAGGCCATCTTCCTTCTTCTTGTGAAAGTTCAGGGGTGAGCGAAATAGCGCGTGTCCCTCTTGCACAGGATGTGTTTGCCTCTTGGAGTGGTGTGCCGCTGTGTCCTGGGGCCTTTCTGATGTTTTTGTCTCACCTTACTTCTATATATTTCTTCTTTCTTTCTTGGCCACGAGGGGCCTGACCTCATACAAAATGTTCCAGCTTTAAGCCTTTGCCACATGACAAAAGCAAACAATGGAACATCTCAAGCCACCCATGAATTCAGCGGCGAGGTTGAAATGGCAAGTCGAACGTAACCTCAATTGGATACTTAGAGGAGCATGAGCGAGAAGCAATGGACCGAGTCCGAAGCCAGAAAGACACACACACCATGAAATCAGAGCGAGAACTGCACAGGGGCTGGGGCTCCAGCCAGCAGTGTTCCTCTCATGTATCCACAAAAAACACCCAGGAAGACCAACCTTGAGAGCGACACATTTTGGTAGAGTTCCAAAAATAACGGTTCTTGCAATATCAAATGTAAGTACTAGACTGTACCATATCAAGCTCCGGTGTTGCAACTCGAAGATGAGAATCAGCTTGCTGAAAAGAAATCCTGCTCCTCATTGGCTTTTGACGTAGAAAGCATTGACACTAGCCACATAAAGGAGCAAGATGTTTCACGGATCAAACCCTGCCATGAATCCTGCAAAGAAGAACAAAGCATTCACAATCATGTACAAGAGAGAGAGAGAGGGAGAAGATGTTTGCACGCCTTTCCACTGGACACAGAACTTCTTGTCATGGTTTGTCTCAAACTCTTCTCAACCCAGTTGCCAATAGCAGCTAGCGTCCATTATAGGGATCTCGTGGTTGTAAGGATCTGCAACCTACACATGTTACGTATTGAGGCATGCCATTTGTGCACCCTTGCAAAGCAAATCTCTGAGCCCACGTCAAGAGCCGTGTCAATGTGAGTGAAACCTTTGATGACACCCTGCTGTGTACCCTTGCATCCCAGAGCGAAAGAAGGTGTTCTCCGCATGGCCACCCCATGCCTCGATCCGCACAAAGGCTCCCAGGTGGATATCGCAAGCTCGCCATTGTCGTCCACCAGGGGTGGTGTCTATAGTCTATGCTTCTTTTGACAGAATACACACCCGGGAACACAGATTGTGACCGTGTTTCTCTTTGAGGAAAGTCGCTCAAAATCTTTGCCCATGTCAATGAATGTTGGTTCTCAGCAGGTTGTCTCCGAGATCTTTGCTTGGCTGGGCCTCAGCTTGCCGGCGGAGGCCATACAAGCGATCAAGGCCAGAAGCTTAGGGCCATTGCGAAAAGGGTTGCTTCATGTTGGTTCTATGAGACAAGGTGAGGAAAGCTACGAATATCCTGAACTATTCAAGGCAAGAATGATTACGAAAGCCAGCCTTCATAGAAGGCGCCAGCGGAGTTGTGTTTGGCGAACGAAGGGGGTGGCCCGCAAAAGGTACACGTAAACTCGGCACATGCTGGGGGAGGAGGGTGCCTCGAGGGAAGGTTTTTTGAGGTTGTGTTGGAGGTGATTTTTGAGGGGTGGTGATGCAAGAAATGCAATCCGCATCATTTGCATCATCTGAATGGAAAGGTGTAGTTGGCACCTTGCCAGGTATAGAGACCCAGGGTAGCTATAGTGCAGCTACCAGGTATAGTACTTCAAGTTCCCTTTCCGTCAACCGCTCGATAACCTCTACACACGCACAGCAATCCACAGCTTTGAAGCCTCATGCGCGCGATGCCTGGGAACAGAAATGTAGCTACCGTGGGTCCGTATGAATGCTATGTTGCTATACCTCTTACACACCTATACCAGTTCAAAGCACGAATGAAACTTCATAGCTGTGGCTTGCTGTGCATGTGTGGCTCGAGAAAGATATACGTAAACTCTGGAAGGTGATGCTTTGATGGTTTTGGAGCGGGTGGTGACGCACTCGCCAACTAGAACATATACCCTTCAATAGGAACTCGAACAGCTCAAATCCAGAAGATTCTGAAAATGGCCTGGCTCCCTATATGAACCCTGGGAAGACTGGGAAGCGAGGAGGTGGAAACTCCTTTGCTCTCGCTTCGCAGACCTTCATTTTCAAGGTGGCCTGAACAGAGTGTTTTAGGGCAGCAAACCCTGGTCTCAGGCCACCTTGAATTTAGCGTGAAAACCACAGCTTTGAAGCCTCATGCGCGCGATACCTGGGAACAGAATTGTAGCTACCCTGGGTCCGTATAAATGCTATGTTGCTATACCTCTTACACACCTATACAAGTTCAAAGCACGAATGAGACTTCAAAGCTGTGGTTTGCTGTGCATGTGTGGCTCGAGAAAGATATACGTAAACTCTGGGGGGGTGAGGCTTTGATCCTTTTGGAGCGGGTGGTGACGCACTCGCCAACTATACCCTTCAATAGGAACTCGAACAGCTCAAATCCAGAAGATTCTGAAAATTGCCTGGCTCCCTAGATGAACCCTGGGAAGACTGGGAAGCGAAGAGGTGGAAACAGCTGGGAGGTCTTGAACTTTTAAGTAAACAAAAGGCCACACTCAAGCAGCAGAAGGACAATGTGCATCCTCTGCTCTCGCTTCGCAGACCTGAACAGAGTGTTTTAGGGCAGCAAACCCTGGTCTCAGGCCACCTTGAATTTAGCTTGAAAAATTGTCTGTTTTAACAAAAGCCTTGTCACAGAGACACCTCAGGACCCTTGCTTCGCATATCTTCATTTTTGAGGTGGCCTGAACATATAGTTTCGGGCAGCGAGCCTCTGGTCCCAGGCCACCTCGAATTTTGGTGCATTGTTTGGCTTTTGCTTCATCTGAATGTGGATGGGAATTATTTATGTGTGAAGTCGGTAGGGGGTCGGGGGGGTGGCCCGAGAAAGGTATACGTAAACTCTTGGAGGTGATGTGTTCGTGATTTTGGAGCGGGTGGTGCTGCAAGAGTGCATTTTTGTTGCTTTGACATGGTTACCTATGTGTCGGCAGAACAAGACATGAAGCAGATTTGACACGCGGCCGCAAGCGGCTGCGCGAGCTCATTTGATTGCTTCGACGCGCAGTTGTCGAGAAAGGGAAGCGCTGGCTTTCGTTTTGCAGCTTCTCAGGTTGTTCCAATCTCATGCCTGTTTTTTGCACCGGCTTAAGAAAGCTGAGAGTCATTCAAATGCCCTTGATTGCAAGAATTCTCAAGTATTGAAACCGAACGTTTGACACTTGGGGTTTCAGAACGGTGGTTCTAAAATGTTCTTAAAGCCTCTTGGGAACTCTTGGTCCGGCTCCTGCCAATTGAAGTGTGCGTGAAGCATTTGTTGCATTTTGTGGTTGGGGTTTGGGCCATGGGAAAGTGGGGATACTGGAAACTGCTACGCAAGGCTTTGGCTATCTAGGTTTGCTACTGTAAATTTTGGTCGCTCCGTTTGTGAGCTCGCACCAGATGGTTTGGCGTCAACATTGCCAATTACCTCCTAAGTTCAAGCAAGTTTGTTGGCTTTTTTGCGCTGGCACAAACAAATTGTCCGACACTGCAAACTTAATATACAAAATCCAGAGTTGTTCGACGTAACCGACTAAGCTAGTGACTGGCTTACTTTGCCCAGAAGTGGGATCATCCCTACTCTGATCATCCACAATGATTTGACTGTTTCGCTCCCGCTTGGAGGTGAATGCAAAATCCAATGATCAATATTTGTCCGTGGGAAGCTGCCAAGTTTTTTGTCTCCCTTTGTTTCCTTGCGTAGAGTAGCACCGTTTTGTTTCAAGGTGCCCTGAGGCATCCCAAAGACATCCCCTAAAAGGTGTGATCTCGAACACCCTGCATGCAACAGTGCCCGAATCCGCGGGTCCCACAGTGTAGTCACCCATCAAGTCGCTGTAAGCATGAAACGTTGAAGTCTTTGTTCCTGGCTTCATAGGTCAAAGTGAGAAGCGATGTGAACGTCAAGCACTTCAAGCAGTATTGTGTTTGGGCGCCTCAGGATGTTAGATGTCGGAGAGCTCTTTCCTTGATCGCTGGAATATACCACGGATGGGTTTTGCAGGTTTCGTGGTGCTCGAAAAGGCCCACCTCTCGAGGGCCAATTTGCCAAGTCTTATTGACTCCATTTGGCACAAAGCGCTCACAAGCCTCGTGGAGATTTTAGAGAGCGGGAGAAAGAAAAAGGGAAAGCATCCTGTCTAGCACGAGAGAGGAAGGTCGCCTCCTTCGTGGCTTGTTTCAACAGTCCTTTGGTACTGTTGGTTTGAGCCAAAGGGATATATAATAGGCAGGCCAAAGAGGTGAAGACGAGCGAGAAACTTTAAACCAAGACTGGAAGCCAGGCCTAGAGGGGCAGGAATAGCAGTCAACTTGACCAGAAACAGACGGCCTTGGGCAACCACACATAGCGCGCAGTAGCGCAACCATCCGTAGAACACGTCCCGAGACTTCCACATTCACAGATCCACTGCCGACGGGATTCCTGCAGAACTTCCTGGTGCATGGCGGACACCAAGCAGTTGAGGAGCACCACAGGCGCCAGCGTTGTGGTCGTCCAAGGGCGTGGACACCACCAGCCACAGGGATTGAAGGTTTCACTACCATGTATTGGTTCCAGGACTTGTTTGCACCTGGTTTGATGGGAAACATGTGGGTGTTTAATTACGTTTAATCCATGTGAGACTAGACCCTTCAAAGGTTCCGCAGGGAGCGAGACCTACAGCAATGGACCAATGTGATGCAGCTCCACCATCCCTACTGATTGGTAAACAGACCTACAAGTCATCAACGCAAAGCTTTCGACCTGCAACTAGTTCTGGTCACATGAGTCACGTGCGGCCGGAATCAGGGTGGAGGCCAAGCAAGGAGACGAAGAAGATTGTCATATGCTCTTGACCCGTGAGACGATCCCCATAATATGATCTCGCACTAACCCTGTAGCAGAAGACTTGGTCTGGTCCTTTTGTTGAGAAATTTGTTCCGAATGAAATACTGTAT